CCCCTCATCTTCTGCTTGTAAAAATACTCAAAGAAGAAACACGTGTTTTTTTTCTTTTTTTTTTTCTATAATTCCTTAATCAATTCGAAATGAATTCTCGTCAAACCATCTTTTGCTAACACAATTCATTTTGAATGAATATTATGTTCAAAAAAAAAAAAAAAAACCGTGTATTCTGTTTCGTTTTTTTATTATTATTATTTTTTTGTCTCTTTATTTTCTTTTCCTTTCTACTTTTCGCAACATTAAAGAAGTCGAGACTAAGTGGCAAAGGTCGAGGACTCGATGCGTAACAACTCGAGAATGCGTGACGGTATGCGTAATAATAGTAAAAGTGAATGAAACTCTGGTCCCCAGAGAGAGTTTTTGGAGAACTATAGAAGAAAGGTGATGGTGGTGGTGGTGGTGGTGGTGTGACGGTGGTGACGATGGTAGCAAAGATGGTAGCGAAGATGGGTAGCGAGAGAGGGTTTAAGCGTGTTCCGAGATCAAAGCGCGGACCGCTGTGAGAAGTGGGCCCGGTCTGGTCTGGCCTGGCTTAGCTTGGGTTAGCTTGGACTGGCCGGAACGGGCCCAGCAGTTCGAGTGGCAGAGATTTTTGTCTTACCAAGTGGCAATCCTCAATCTTCTCAACGAGCACTCGTCTTTTCTCTTGAATTAGAACAATTCAGAGTAGTATCCTATTCTTGTTCTCGTGGACAAACATTTCTTTCGAGTATCATCAACCCCTTGTTTCTTATTTGTTATTTTTTTTTTTTTTGTAAATCAAACAAAACAATTAACTGTTTAATATTTGCTGCAATGAATTTTCCAGTTGCTTACGAATAGGATTAAAAAAAAAAAAAAGAAAATAGGGAAAGTATATCAAAAGGGGGAAAAGTTAGTTGGCAGGAAAGAAAGAGTTGAGTGTCGGAAGCATTAGCTTGGATTCCTGTTTGTACGCGGTCGGAATTCTTTTATCCATCGGAGTAAGGATTCCTGCGGGATTCCTTGGTCGTTATCATCGCGTGCAGGATGAAGAAAGGTGGGGAGGAGAAGGAGGAGAAGGAGGAGGATGAGGAGGATTGCTGGGGCAACGAATGCTTCGTGAGAGAGTAGCTGCGAGTGTGTACAGCCAAAGAAAGAAATAAAGAAATAAAGAAAGAGAAGAAAGAGAAGAAAGGATAAAAGGATGAAAGAACACAGGACGAAGAAGAAGAAGAAGAAGAGTTTAAAAGAGAGAAAGATAGTCGTCTTTCGAACGAACCAGTCTCCTGAGCATGGGGGTTAGGGTTAGGGGCCTCCCACGATATTCCTCGGAGGAATTATGAAGTCGTCCAGCTGTAGAACCAGTTGGGTCATATTTCGCGTGGTTACATCGATGTGCTCGCATCGTGTAATGGGAAAATATTGAATGGTTCTACGACATTGCCCCGAGGGAGGGCCAAAGATCGAGCAAAGAGAGAGAGAGAGAGAGAGAGAGAGCAGCTTCGTAGATCTCGTCACGAAGATCCGCGATCTCAAAAGTATTCTTCTTCTTCTTCGATCGTTTCAAATGTAAACGTAAATTTTCATTTGATCGAGTCCTTTTAAAAAAAACAAGAATATCATTCTCGTGTGTTAAATAAAAGGGGAATGTAAAAGGATGGGTGAAAAGGGTCAAAGAAATTTATATTTTCTTTCAATAATAATAATAATAATAATAATAATAATAATAATAATATTTCATTTGTTTCGATATCTTTATTCGTATAAATTAAGATTAATAATAATTACATTTATTATTTTTCTTTTACCATTTGTTTTATCTCTTTCTCTCTCTCTCTCTCTCTCTCTCTCTCTCTCTCTCTCTATCGAAAGAAAAGTCGATTCCGCAGTTGTTCGATGATTGGTAAAATAATATTTTCTTAATTTTAAAGAAAATAATTTTTCACACGAAATAAATTATCGATTTAACTTATATTCTAAGAATTATTTACAATAGCAGGCACACATACATTAGGGCCCATTTTTCTTTTTCCTAATACTTTAATTATTCTAATTTTTCTATATATTTTTTTCTTCTTTTCTTTTCTTTTCATTTTTTTTTTTTTCTTAAAACCTACAGAACATCATCTCGTTGTTTTGTCACTATGTACACACATACACACATACTTGCACACATTTGATTCATATACAGTTATATTTAACGCTTTCTTTCGAACGAAAAAATTGAAAAATGATGATGATGAACGAAAAAAAAAAAAAAAAAAAAAAGAAATTGAACAAAAAAATGTTGAAATAAATAAACGTTGAAATTATCCAATTGGAAATCTAATCTTCGTCTAAAATACATTCAATCGTTCAACGGTACATTCGAAATTGTAAAGCAATCGTATTGTTCTTAACCCATTACCTGCCATTATGGCCCTTTTTTGGGGATGCATTTTGAAAGTTTTCTTTTTAATAATTGCAACTTCAAAATGAAGTCTTCACTTCAACTTCGGATTTCATGAAAAGATTAACCCATTCGCTACGGGCGTATTTTCCGTGGTGCTACTTCTACTGTACGGGCCTACTAATAATACGTGCAACAGCATCGAAATTGCAATTGATTTTTTCAAGTAATTTTGTTGTTGATATTGACGATTTTTAATCAAAAGAAACAAAAACCATAAAATTACACGTCCACAGTGGGAAATTTGATTTAGTGTTATAACTGCATATGTTCGTCATATGTAAAATACGCGGTATTTTATGAAGGGCCACTATAATGGCCCGTAGTAGTAGCGAAAGGGTTAACAAATAATTCACTAATTTATTTGAAATCAATAATTAATGATATAAAATAATTTTTAAGATTTAAATAAATAATAAAAAAAAAAAACAATTATTGCAAAAATAGTATGATAAAAAATAAATATTATTATACAGTTAATTTAATTCTTTCTTTTTT